GAAGAGACGCTTTTCAAGCCACCCGCTAGTCATTTCAATCGTGAAGATCACACATTGGATGGAACCTCCGGCGTGTGGTTGAAACGCAAGGGTGTGGTATAAACCAGGTTGCCCCAAAGGAGAAGGTACACCAACATCCTGGAATCCGGTCATAGTCTCCACCCACCATTGAAGGGATTCCAAATGGACTCGGGTCTCGACCGGATTCGAGTATAGTTGTGGGTTATGATTTGGAATGACGAATGACGATTGCTCTATCAAGATGACGCTTTGAATGCTGCATTGCTACCCACTCCCTAGCAAACCAAGCCTGTGTATGATTTATTTCCTAGTTCTAGTTTCTTCTGTCCGACCAATTCCTCATACTTCTGCTTCCATAAGTCATCATTTGAGGACAAATATCTCATTTCTGAACATGTGCACGCTATTCTGGCGATATCAACACCATGAAGATACTCCAAAACCTTGAGTTTAAGTTCTGTTGGGAGGCGCATAAAGCATGGCGGAGAACCCAATCCAGATTTTTCACAGAGATCAATTAAGAGCGGCAATGCAAGCCCATCTTTGACCATCTTCCATAACTCAAAAACCTCTTTCTCATGGGTATAGACACTCGAAATTTTGTTATCATTCGAATCAGATTTTGCCAGCATCAACCCTAAAGCGGGAGCAAATTTACGCTTATCGATGACTACTCTGTACAAACCAGAGCCCCCAACCGACAAGGAGCCGTACACATTAACAAAATGCCCCAAATTCTGAAATTTCAATACCACAGTTTCGGTCGAATCAGAACCATTAGTTAGGATTTCAGGCAAAGAATATCTTACAGATAACGTCGAAGTCGTCGACGGCCCATGATCCAGAATATTCGAGTAGCCAACCGCCATGCCTGAAACCCTATCTAACAAGACAAAGCCAGATTCCAGAATAATGGCATGAATAGAGACGACCAACAGCTTTACATCATTACGATCACTACTCAACGTCTCCCTAAGCACCCTTTTCACGAAAGAAGGTTCAGAATCGCGCTTCCCCATCACCTCAACAGACGCATCAACAATTTCCATGCTCTCCGAAACCGCGGGCTGTTGTTCTGAGTCAGCAATATCATCGGCCATCACATCAGTCTCTCCAGCCTCCATCTGCCCTTCTGATGAATGTTGATTTGGGGTTTTTTGCATGATATGATCGGTGTGTTTGGCCTCCGATGGTCCAGGCTTGTGCACTAGTGGGATTTCAGAGATGAAGGCATTGGAATTGAGAGAGTAGAAAACGAGGTCACCGCTGGCTATGCCAATGGAGTGCAACGATTCTTCTGGGGAGGAAGCATTGATTTCGTCCTTCCGATTGAGCGAGAGATGCAGAGAAGAGGAGGGGGCTGAGATGGCTCGAGATACAGTTTCTTTGAGTTGCTGCAAAGAACATGAATCCGGAACCTCGATTTTTAGGGTTTCTTTGGATTCGAGAGATCTGATTCTTAGCTTCATGGCTTGAGCTTCCAAAGGATTACAATCGAATTGAAATGAAACTTGTCTATGAAGTATGAAGTACAATGAACGATTTTGTCTCCCTACCTCCTGCAGCAAGTCGGTGCGTGACTGCGGATGCCATAGGATAACGAAAAATGTCATATATGTTTTTTTTTTTTTGGCCAGCGAAAACTGTCATTTATTAGTTATTACACGCTACTAATATACCAAGATATGTATTTTTCTTGTTAGGAATTTTAATTTACACTAAATAAAAAATTTCAAGATAAAATAATTTATTGTTTAAATTTTTTTTAATACGAGATCACAAATTAAAGAATAGAATAAACTTTTTATTATGTTTTCTTTTGTATGCATAAGAGTAACCAATTTACTCCCTTTTATGTCCAATGAAAGTGACTTTTTAGAAAAATAATTTGGTGCAAACTATAAGTTATTGACAGTAATTAATATTTATTTATTAATTTTATTCTTGTAATTAATGCTTAAATATATCAATTCCTAATTTTTCCCCCATATCTCATTTAATATGGATGAAATTTAAAAAAATCAAATTGAGATAAATTTAATGAATTTACCGCCCTTAATTATGATGAATTAGTAGTGTTTGGGAGGATTCATAAAATTTCATTTCATGCTCCGTAATATGTTTTTTTGGGCAATTCTATGCTTCTGAAATTAGATAAGGGATTTTATTTTAGTCTAAATCAAAATGTTATTACTCTCTCCTATCTTAAATATAAAATCCATTTTATAGTATTGAGAGAGTTTTTTCTTTTAATTTACACTCTCCTTTAAAATTACAAATATTATTTTATTTATGTCATTCCCAGATTTACAAATAACTTTAAATTTTTTAAATAATGTGTTGAATAGTTATAACCAAATAACACAATCATATGACTTCTTCAATCATTCCAATTAATTAGCGAAAAATTCATTAAGGATTGCATCAACATCCCATATCCAGTGGTTTCGAGTCCAGAGAGTTGCATCCACCAATCTAATTAAGTTCATGTCGTTCTCATGCAAATTCACGTTTGAGTATTACTCTCTTCAGAGTTCTCAAGACACATTTCACTGCTTGGGAACCACCTTGTAATCTATTGCTGGTTGAAAAAAGGTGAGAGCTAAGGAGTAAAACTACCACTCTAGTGAATGACATAAATACATAATAATTACATACTTTTTTTTCCAGCAATAATTACATACATTTAATTACAGAATTACAGTAAGCCATTTACATATCGCCCCTGAAAAAGGGACCACTGAGGAATGAGCTGGAGAAAGTGCCTCCACCGTTGGGGAAAAGTGTGAGTAGACAAATAAGGCCAAGGACAATACCCCAGGCAAACCTGCTTTCCCCCAAAGGAGAAATCTCATCCTTTGCTGGTATTTCTTCCCCACCTCTTAGGAAGGTTGCAAATAACCCCCATGCCAAACACAGGACACTACCACTCAGGCCACCGATACCGAGCAATAACGAAGTGGCGAAGGATAACACCGCGGCAGTGCTTCTACCAAACATGGCTTGTGCTATGCGACCTCCTTCCAGTCTTCCACAAGGCAGCAAGTTCAAAGAAGTAACCACCATCCCTGGAGAAGCATAGTATTATACATCTCACGTTATTACATCTAGGAGGGCATTGCCCAACTAATTTCTACGCCGAGCATATAGAATGTTAGAACAATAATAGACAAGCCAGAAGAAACTTACCTAGCAGCCCTGCAAAAGCAAGTGGGTCAACAGGAACTCCAACACCTTCCACAGCATAGGGCAGCACATTTCCAAGATCATCCGTGTAAGGCCCAATGACAAATTGGACGAAAGAAAGAAGAGGGTTGTTATAGAAAAATTGAGGCCTTATATACCTGCACAAGTAACAAGTAGAGAGTTAAAATCATGGGAATCAGTCTCGGTTGAGCATGTTGGCCCTTGAAGTGACGTAATGCATGATTTATATAGCAAAGATCAGAGAAATCTTGGTTTTGCCTCGTTGGATTCATCATTTTTCATGAATTTGTAATCTTTCACCATTTAAATTCATCAACATACAAGTCTCTGTTAATGCATAGAAGTTGAGTTCCAACACAATTTCATAATTATCAATTCAAAAACATGATCCTTGACCCAACAAGAAGAGGCACGTTTCACTTTCCCTTTTTGGATGAAGAAAAAGTATCACCAAACGGTAATACTTTTAATAAGTACTCACATGGCATTATCGCCCCCATTGAAGCTTCCATCAGCAACAAAAGCAGCAACAGCGAGCACTAATGAAGTCAGATATGCACTAGCTGTACGGGCCACGGGAATATCAAAAAGAGCTTTCTTGCTTGGCAAGAGGGACTCATAGTTGTTCATCACTCCTAAGCACCCCGTCCAATTAGATGGCACCAAGAAAGAAGGGCTAAGTTTAACACCATACCGAGCTGCTGTTACCCTGGTAGCTATCTACATGATGAGAAGGATACAACCAAAGTATAAATAGCATGCCAAAGAAAATAAACAAATCTACAAGATACAGTAGCGCCAAAGGTGTGCATAGCTATCCCTGAAACAAATAACTGACATACTACAGCATGCATGATTTTTATTTTTACAAAATACATTAACTATCAGCATACGTGGGGTCTGTTGAATACAAGCTAAAATCGAATAGTGACAGGTTTTTAATGATTGGTATTCGGTAAAGCTATCTACGACTAAAGTAACACAGTAAGAAGAACCTGCAAATACTTTCTCAACCTCAGATATCTCGTTCTGCAAGGCAATGTTAAGGATATACAAAATATTCATTGCTTTAGCTACATACTCATTATTAGACTAGACATCTATGCAGTTTATCCAACTCTTTCTGTTAAGGTTGATGCAAAACTTCACGAATGTCTTACCTCAGATACTCCCAGAATAGTTACGAATCCACCAAATAGAGGCACAACGTTAGCTAAGTAGTCATCAAATGTCGCATCAGGTTTAAGGAAGAAGCCGCTCATCAGAGCAATTGTTCCAAAGGTGGTAACACCTAATGCTATTGCACTAAGATAACCAAAAGGAGTGCTCAACTTAGTTGTCTCAAACTGAAGGTCCATTTCTGATTTGGGTTGCACCACACAGGCCTGAATACAAATGAATTTTAGGTTATGGCATTCGTTGCGAAAAGGAAAAGAAGAATCTTTTGGGGAAAAAAATATTTGGAAAAAAAGATTTAAGTCCCTAAGAGTTTTAGAAAATGGCATAAAGTCAAGATTTAATATCAGGACATAAAGCATGCATATAAGTGGACTCGATGTTTGACTACAAAATAATCATTAGACAACTGAACACTTCCGAGTCTTGTGGTCAAAAGGTTATTCCACTGCTAGATAAGATAATGCATTATAATATAGACAGCAAATTTTACTTTCAGTTCATTGTGGAGTACCTGTTTTGTAATGTCATTTGCTTTCTCTTCAATGAACCATAATACCACATCTCGACCTGCTGCCTCAGATAGCTTTTTTTCCAACTTGGGAATTACCTCATCAATGGGTCTCCTCAAATTCCCAATAAATATGCCCCCATCTCCAAACCTCCGAACATCAGTTGCAAAAAATGTATCAAACCCAAAGCAGCTCTTTAACTGTCATGTAAAATAAGATACGTGTCAAACATGCTTCATCGTTAACTTTGAGCAAATATGATTATAGCTATAATGTTCAATAGAAATAGGTAGATGCTAACAAACTCATAATTCTGAAGCTCCCAACAAAACAAATATTCAAAGATTAAAAGTATATTTCCTTATTAAAGAAGGGTTATCGGTTTCAGAACACAGTGAATAATCACTACCTTGTTAAGATCAAGAGCCTTGAAGGTTTCCTCTGCTTTTTCTAATCTCTCCCTTTCCCTAGTCACACTCTCGCGCACCAACCTATTAAAAAGACCCAAAATTGGGTTACTGCTGCCATCTCTGTCAAGTTCCTTCAGCTTCCTATCAGCCCTCTTCTTCTCCAGCTTTATCGCCGCTTCAATAGAAAGATTACCCATAAACTTCTTAAACTCCTCGTCAGTCTTCCAATCCATTTCTTGCTGCTTCTCCTTTTCCTCAGTAGAACTTTGCTCGTCTTCCACTTCGCCTTCTTTTCTCAACTGCTCGTGAACTCCGGAATCATGTTTATCCCTTCCATTCTCAGGAACTACAGCAGCCGTAGTAGTAGTAGAAGGAGAAGAGGAATCGCCATCCTGCTCATCTTTGAGTGATGCTTTTAGAGGCGTGAGTGAATTCTTTCTGGAGTTCAAAGAATTCACTCGGAAGATAACGTAGTTCAATGCGTTGTTCGTCCTCCTTTTGTTCCCAATTCTTCGAGTCAATGAGGATAAGGAAGAGTGAGAAACTGCAGAAAGAGTTGCCATGAAAAATATTGAAGGAAATGAGAATTGAGTAAAGGCCGGGGAATCACAACGAATAATGATGACTCCATAGAAAAAGTGAAAAGAACAGAGCACGGAGGGAAATTCCAGAAAGATGGAGAAGTTTGGAGATGAGCACTTGCCCCGAGCCTGAATCCATTAGGTGCCTCAACATCTTCCACCTGGCAGTGTTTCGTGATTTTTCTTCTTTTGGGAAACTGGAAAAAAACTTAAATGCCACGTTTATTTGATCCCTGGCAGTTTTAAGGATGGCGACAAAGACAGCGCCTGGGACTGAAGATGAAGGCGTGCCCCAGAACCGGCAGCTAGAAGGTGGGCACCCAAAAAACAGGCAATGGTAATCCAATTCCAAAGGGCATCGCTTTGGCGGGTACTCCTTCCGCCGAAGAACAGGAAGCCAGGTTGGAAAGAAAAATTAAAAACATAAGCGCTAGAGGAAGGGCTTGAACCTTCGACCTTGTGGTTAACAGCCACACGCTCTAACCAACTGAGCTACTCCAGCTGGCGTGAACGTGGCGCTCACAAGTATTATTATATCTGTAACAATCCTGCCATTTGATTGGCACTATTAACTTCACCACGCTACTTTCGCATACTTCAAATAAAAGGGCCCTTTTCTTTTGAAACTCGGCATAATAAAGCAGTTTCGCCCATGTATAAAAACAATTAGATTTTACATCCCGTGTAATATATGCGGATATTAATTCTCGTTTTGGTTCAAAGAGAAGGGGAGGCTCACTTTTTCTTTTTCTTTTTTTCTAAAGGAACTCAGTAAAATCTCCCTTTACCTACTCTGTTCTTACCTTTTGTGTGAGACATGAGTTTGGGACTGTATATGGCTTTCTCTCAGGCTTATGCTAGTTCGAAGAAGAAAATATTGCAATGGAGAACAAAGAAGGGGGCGTCAAAGTCCTGGTCATGTTTCTCATTAAACAGATAGAGGAGTACTAAAAGTTATCTCTTACACGTAGTAGTGCCTGCAATACGCCGATTTACTGCATTGCTCAAGTCTTGATCCTAGTTGGCTTTACATTCATTCGATTTCTGTGTTGGACTGATACTCCTCCGGTTGATGATATTAGTGTGTATAAGGGTCTTACATTTAGAACCAGAGGAGTAGTTGATGATCACAAAACTATTTGCTCTCTTTTATTTTGGTGAAAAGAAATTGCAATGAGGATTGGTTGCTCCGACAGTACCAGTCAGAATCCCCCCCCCCGGGGAATTCTGAATCTCTGATATGTCAAATTGCATGGGTGTTCATGTTCAACAATTAAATGGTGTAGCTTTAAGTACTGGCCAGGTTGTGAAAACCAAGCATTAAGAGGAATATTCATTTCATGAACACTGATGCTTAACCCAAGAATGAAACAATAGTTTCTTTGACAATGTCATCCATAATAGCATCTCCTATCTCCATTTGTATCTCCCAATTTTGTACGTTGGAATTTCTCCACTCTTCTGATGTAAGGAAGGGTTCTGCATGCAACAAGCGGGTCATGTTTTTGGCTTCTGCATACTGTTTCTCCAGCAGACCAAAATTCTCATTTATTATATTTTCAAGCTCTGAAATTGCTTTTATTGAAAGTCTTTTACCTTCATGTGCATGGAATTGTTCTGCTTTTCCTGCACAGCCCAACTGTAGCTGCTTTCTTGTCTGCAGGATCCTTTTCTCTCTTTGGCAAATAGTTGTACTGACCATCTGCGGTTTGTTATTTCGTACATGTCCCGTTTTGCCAATATCCAAGTTCACAAATTGCTTCCTTAGATAGGTTGAAAACATGGGATCTCCGACAGATTCCTGGGACAAATTGAATATAGGAGAGTCAATGGGACTCGTCAGATTTTGAATGACATATGATCTTAAAAAGAGAGTAAATCATGTGATGATGACTTGTAAAAAGTATTTATGCATTATCGTTACTGAGAAAGCTAATAACAATGTCTTTATCTATGTTTTCTCTAGGAGGTGAATGTGAAATTTCTAACAGCTGTCAATGGTGTTTTAAGAAAATGATCTGTTACCTCTACGCTTCTGAATTCAGGAAGCGTAAATGTCTCAAACATGCTCATCAGAACTGAGCCATGATGTTCACAAGACAAAAAATTGTCTTCAACATCATGGCAAGTAAAATTATCCGATGCTGCTGATCTTTTCTTCGAGTAGAACCTATATTTTGGCTTTTTCTGAGTGTCTGCGGTTGTCCTATGCACATATTGATCATTCTTATGCTGTCCGCCCCAGGTTGAGAACTCATGGTAATCACCCGAGAGAGTGAACTTGCAAAGCATTGATCTTAAGATGCCTTTAGCTAGTAACAATCTACTTCCTACATTGCACAAATCACATTTGACTGATCTCTTCAGATTCTTTTGTGAACGAAGGCAATGAATATTCTTTGTAGCAGCATCAGAGGCGGAGTTCTTGAACATGTAACTTCTTTCTGAGAGATAGGTTTGCAATGAAAATGGCTCTTGTTGATGCTGAAGATATTCTTTTAGCTGTTTAGCAGATTCTGGTCTGGAAGCATCCATCAGAAGAAGGGCAAGAGGGTACGAAAGAGAAAAGGTTGTGTGAGATTTTGAGGATGAGACTGTTAAAGTGTTAATAGAACATGTCTGTATAATGAATGAAAGGATAGAAGAGCGTAAGAAAGAGATTAAAGCAAAAGGGTGGGTGTGGTGGGGAAAAGACATTGACATACAGCAGATACTATGATTGATGGAGGAAACAAAAAGCAACTTCGTGATTGATTAGTGGCTCCAATATGTTTCATATACATGACTGATTATTGCATAAAGTTTTATTCTCTTTTTTTCCAGAATGAAGTATTCTTCTCCTCTGGATTATTGTTGATAAAATAGATCATATACTTATGAGGTGTGAGGGAGATGTTAGCCTTCAAAAGTGGGCAAAGTGAATCATTTGAGAACTGCAGATTGAAAAAGGGAACATTCCAACTCCTTTATCACTTAATTTATTGCAATCTCATTGGCATGCAATTATTATTGAGACAAACAAAGATGTCTGGAGCATCGTTGGGTCTGTGCAATGTACAGCAAGCTAACGTCAACAAATGATTGAATTTAGAGTCCTTTAATTTAGTAATCTAACCAATTTTAGGTTGCCCATCTAATCTTTGATAATGTTAATGATTAACCAAACTCAAAAATAAAGATATCATTTCCTGAATATAAGATTTAGTTTTTAGTGCAAATTATACTACAAACCAGATCTTATATTTAGCCGGAGGTAGTATTTTATATAGAGTTTGTAATGAGTCTTATTATTCATAATTTATAAATAGTGAGTTTTCATAAATTGAGTACAAGCTTGTAAAACGATTTAGGCTAGGTTTGGATGGATATATATATATATATATATATATTTAATTTACCTCAATGAGTGTGATAGATACATGTAAAACAATTAATATATTTAGATATTGAGGAGATGAGATATGAAGATGAATAATAATCATTGAAGAGAGCTGTTTAACGGTTATCTTAAGGGCATGCTTGGGTCATCATGTTGGCCTTTGTGTTCACTTCTTTTTAACTTTCCCAACGTTTGTTAATTGCTATTGATGAGTGCTATTCATCACAGAAAAAATAAAATAAGATAACCAAAGTCTTTACAACGTCAATTCATGCTTCTTACGGGGGATTTGATTTGATACATAACATTAAGGATTTGGATTCCCAAAATGTACTTTAGGTTAGGTGCATTTTATAATAAAGCAAAAAAAAAAGGTTTTTTGGGGGGGGGTCTAAATTGCAATAGGAGTATAGGATTATTACCATTACGGCACCATACAAACTCCTGCTGTGAGAAGAAAACTTGGGATTTTTTTTTTTTTTAGTTTTTATAGAACACTTTGGGATGTTTTGAATTACATGCTAAAGTTCAGAGATAACATGTTATTTATTTTAATGTTATATGATTGGGCCGGTCATTTTTCCCATCTGGTTGGGCCGGGTCTAATCGATTCAAACAAAATATTGTAAGAAGGGCTTGACCGACTGGGCTGTTTGTGCACGGTGATGTGGCAATTTTGTAGGGGATCCTGTCCTGTCTACTTCACATTGAACCAACGCTCCAAATTAGGTATGGAGAGTATTGAGATAAAATCCAGGAGAATCCAATTCACTAATTGGCCGAAAAATTCCTCGGGTGCGACACAAATCGTTTTCTTATAATATAGTACTCTTTTAGTTCTTAATATAAGATCTATTTAGTTAATTTGATTAGATTAAAGTGGTCAGATAAATTAGGTAATTATAAGAAATATGACATATTTTTCCTAAAATACTATAATCATCCTCTTTAATATTCTCTCTCTCTTCTACTTGATTATAGTTGAAAGAGTATCAATAGGAGTAATTTGAAAAAAAACTGATAAATATAAAAAATAAATCTTATATTTAGGATTAAAACCAACTTAACAATTAGGTCCTATATTAAGAATCGGATGAATAGTACTTACATTCATTTAAGAAATTAATGAAAGTCATAACAAGTAATTACTACATACAACATTTGTATCCTTAAGTGTATATATATTAGGAAAAAAACAACTCTTATTTGGAAATACTTTTTCTCATGACTTATTAATAAACACCTTTTTAAATGGAAAAAAGGCCATAAACAAATAGAAAAATTACAAATAAAGACCTCCTAATATGTGAACTTACAATTTGATGCCCTGAATTTGAAAAATAGCAAATAAGAACCGGATTCCACTTTTGCAAATATGAAATGTGGGTGAAATGCCTAGAATGCTTCTCAGCCAAATTGTAATTTAATCTACTAAAGTTGTTATTCGTTAAAGTGAACTTGTCATTTTTCATAGTCAACTCTTCATTTAGCATACTCTCAACCAAGTTGTGATTTGGTCTACTGAAGTCGTTATTCGCTAAAGTCAACTTGTCATTTGGTTGAGGGGCATTTCAGACATTTCACCACAATTTCATATTTTTAAAAGTGAGACTGGATCCTTATTTATTATTTTTCAAATTGAGGGTCTCAAATTATAATTTTATATACTGGGGTCTTTATTTGTAATTTTTTCTAAACAAATTGAGAAAATCGATTGGAAAAAAAAGAGGACCTTTCATTTTGTGTGCATGGCCTACAATAGTGCAATAATTTAATTTGATGCCGTATGGAAAATGGTACAGCAACAGTTTTAAGCGTTATGAGGTGCATGTTCGTCATCACTTTCCTGCCACTCACACAGATCAGGTCTCAGAAATAAGCACATCTCTTTTCATTTTTAAATCATTAAATGTCACCTACTTGCATATACACGCACACTCTTAAGTCCCGTTTGGTATGAAACATTAAAAATAAAAGATAGAGACTATAATTGTGATTAAAAAAATAATTAAAAAAGCCTTAACATAAATAATTGATTGTTACGTGAGATTAGGAAAACCAATAAAAATAGGATTGGGAAATACCACTTCCTCCCACAGTACTCAATCCCACATACATGCGTTTCTTTAATCCCATGTAATAAGTAATCTCTCATGTTAAATATTCTTTAATAGATCTTCTTAATTCTAATCCCAATCTCAGTCTCTCTTTTTTAATGTTTCGTACCAAACAATATTTTAATGCCCTACCTATTTCCTCTAATCAATTCATTATTGTTCAATCACTTCTTTCCCATCTTATATATGAGCTTGTATCATTGAACTCCTCTGATCCTTGCTATAAAAGTCATTTAAATAATTCGAGTGGCTTAAAAAATTAAATAAATCAATAATCATAATAAATGTGATATGATTTTTCTTTAAAATATTCTTGCACTCTTCTAATTCTAAATATAAAACTTATTTTATAGTGTAATTTATACTATAAAATGAGTCAACTAGAAGAGTAAATATAATATATCTAAGTTATTTATAGCGGTTTATAATAATATAGCTAAGCACACCAATAATATTGTACTCCTCCGGTCCTAATTATAAGACCCAATTGACTTATTTGAGGAGATTAAGGAAGTAAGTTAAGTTGGTTATTTATAATAAATAAGTGTTGTCATTCCTAAAATATCCTTGCTAATTAAGTATATTGGCTAAAACTATCATTATTAGAAGGATTATCTTGGAAAAAAATGCATAAATATAAGAGACAAAATGGATTAGGATCTTATAATTAGGACCAAATAAAAAGTCAAATGGGGTCTTATAATAAGGACCGGAGGAGTACATATATACCATCATTCATTCATGTCTGACCAAATTGGCAGTGTATAATATAACTTTTATTTTCCAAACGAGATGGTTCTGTGTGTGTGTGTGTGTGTGTGTAACTTTTCGCATTCAAGAGTGTGTTGATCATTATATGTGTGGCCAGATATCATAGCTTGAAGAAGCTGCTTCTATTGTCCTCCATTATTCAACACAACATCTGCCTCTCTTACCATCCCACCCCATATACATCATCAATTCATTGCCAACTTAACAGATTAGAGTTATTAAGAAGCCATTTTTCTGTGCCAAATATATATATATATATATATCATACAGTAGCCTATTTTGTATAAACTATAGATTGAAGAAGTCGAAAGTGAGGTGAGGTACGCTGTTCATGATTTATATATAAATTTTATACTCATCTGGTCTTAAATATAAAATCCTTATACACAGTATTAAAGTCTTATATTTAGGATCGGACGAGTATTACTTATATAGATATATAGATTCAATTTCATTTTTTCCCTTAAAAAAAACCTTTTTTTTTTTTACAAGAAGCCTGAGTGGAAAATAAATATAATTAAAAAAAGAAAACTTAGAGGCGCAAAATTCCACGTTTCCCCTCTTTTATTTTCAACACGCTGTCTATATAAGTTGATTTCGGAGCAGCATTATCTGTGTATCTGATATACTCTAGTGTTAATTAGAACTTTCTTAATCAGCACAGTCGAAGAAAACTAGGAATGAAGATGTCTTGGTCCAATGTCAGAACATGTATCTGCATGTCTTTCTTCTTCCTCTTCTTCTTCTTCACCATATCACGTGCAGGCAGGCCTGTCCCTTCTTCTTCCCTCGCTGTCCCAATCAAGACTCAACATAAGGTGAGCTTGCCAGTTTCAATTCATTAATTATATAATACATATCATAAATGTATTATCTTCTTCAAACTATATGTATCGTTAAAATCTCTGCTTCTTCTGATGATATTGCTTCCATTAATGAAGTTATTAATTCATGGTTCTGCAGGTTGATTTGGCAGTGGTGGAGAAGGTGAATACTGAGGAGGAAAGTTGTGAAGGGGTTGGAGAAGAAGAATGCTTGATGAGAAGGACACTTGCGGCTCACTTGGATTACATCTACACTCAAAAGCATAAGCCTTATAAGCCATAAGATCTATGGCCTCTCCTATATGTTTGATCGAACTGTCGTAGATTTCATGTACGAGGCAATTAGCTGAAGTCCGTATATGCCACTTTTTCGTCAGTTCAGTTTTCTGCTTCCACTATTCAGTTTTTTGCAGTTGCAGACACGAGTTTTATCGTTCGAAAAAAGATGTGTTTTCTGTGTTTTCCCCCTAAAAAATCTTTTTGATTCAGTCCATGGTCCATTATCTGTAGTTGATTTATATATAACTGCAAATTAAAGAATGGTTTCACAAGCTGGCTTATCTTTTAATCATATATATATATGTGTGTGTGTGTGTGCGTGTGTGTATATATATTGGGCGCCTGCTTGATGAACATAAAACCAGCAAATTATATGCTTTAATTTCCAAAGAGGAAGCTATAGCTTCTATGGGGAAGGAATCTTGAGATAGACAGAGAGAAGTTTTACTGGATAGACATACAGACAAGTTTCTTACGCCACTGATGATCTTAAAAGCTGAGGGCCGTTGTTCTTTATTACTACCTACAGTTTTTAATAAAAGAATTTATTTGATTTTTATTTTGATCTAATTATAAGATCCCAACCCATTTTATCTCTTATATTTATTTATTTTTTTAAAATAATTCCTGTAATAATGATAGTCTCAGCAAATACACTTAATTAAAAAAAAATATTTTAGAAAAGAAAACACATATGTATTATAAATAACTAACTTAACTAATTTTCTTAATCTATTTAAATTAGTCAACTAGTTCTTATACTAAGAACCGAAGGTAGTTCTATATATGAGGATACTGAGATTTATTATAGTTTATGCTGTCACTACCCTCATAATTAATATTCTGTCTTGAATTCGCTCAACAACTTTCTTTTAATGGAACAAAACTATGTACTGTGTACTCTTTCCAACTCTAAATATATTTAAAAGTTAGATAACTAATTAATTTACAAATATTAACAAATTTAACTTAATTAAACTAAATTTCGGGGAAAATTTTATAAATTTGAAATGTAAAATAAAGTAAGGTACATAATATGTTTAAAACCAAAACTAACCCAAAGTAACTCTTATTATTAATTTATTCTTCCTCTCAGTATAAATTTGTTGAGTATAACTTGGATGTTCGTTGTTGAAGGTAGAGACAAAAGCACGTGGAATTTGTCCGTGAGTTGTCTCTTTCTCTGTGTTTTATGGAACACTCTTCTGGCAATCCGCCTATATACATAAGTGCAATGTACGTTTCTTTTGCCCCTTCTTTCTTTCCATATTCTTGTCTTCATTTTGGTATGTAAACAGGTGATCAGAATAAAATAATACTTCTCTAATTTTAAATACAAAACCTGTTTTACAGTATAAATTACACTATAAAATAGATTTTATATTTAAAACTGAATGAGTATTTTGTCAAGATGTTCACTTATCAAATTTGAATGGATATAGTAGTGTCGATCGCTAGTTTGTTTTAATTATTATATTATTCTAAGCACACAAGATTCTTGACCTGATTTATTGATGAACCTAGATGAATATACGTCCGGGTTGGGCAAAATTGAAAACCACATAGATTTGATACCAAGAAATTATTCAATTATACTCCTTCAATCTTAAATAAAAGACTCATTTTATAATATAAATTATACTATAAAATGGGTTTTATATTGAGGACCGAAGAAAATATATCACGAGGGGGTTCATCTCAGAAATAACCAAACAGGGGATAGAGAGAGGCATGTGGTGGTTGATGTTGGCATATTGTGGTTAACAAGAGACGTTACATATATATAAAACCTTGCAATCCAACAACTACCGTTGCAGATTGCGGCTGCTGGCCGACAATAAACAAATGAGTTTGTTAAATTTTTCGACTATCAAGACTGGATCTCTTTTGTTTTGTACCAAAGAAAGATAAGATAATTTTGTTCCCCAACTTGGCGGTGGGTTTGGGCTTCTTTCGAGGTGATGGGCTTGTTGGCTAATAGCTTGGCCCATTCTTGGCCCATTATTTACACAGTTGAATATTCCGTTAATCTGAATCATCATCTTCTTCGACCTCCCCCCCTCCATAACCTCCATGCTTTCTCTCTCCTTCCCCACTATTGTACACCTTATCTCATCGTTCCATCCCCGCCATGATGGATGATTTGAAAATAGCACTCGCACAGAGACATAGGAAAACTTTGGTGTCTTCACGCACTGGTTTCTCAACATATCTTATTGAGTCAATTACTGTCGTCATAAATGATTCGGATATCAATTAGGTATTTTCCTGGACATTTTGATTAAAAGGCCTTATGGGTGATTTCTAGGAAAACACGAAGTCATTTGCTAGCAAGTGCTATTTAGATTGGACATGAATGATGTTGTATTTTGTGAGAAATGAACGAGCTCTAAGGACAGAGGGAGAATAAATTTTTTAATCTTATTTATAGGATAAAGAGAGAAGTTATTTATATGAATATATAATTTTATCTTTCATTTATTATTGTGTTAGCTTTATTCTTAAGAGATATAATGTACTCCGCCAGCCCTAAATATAATACCTATTTTGTAATGTAAATTACACTATAAAATAGGTGTTATTTAGGACCGGAGGGAGTATATATTAAATAAAAATAAACTTAGAAAATTATTAAATTTTGAAAGAGAGCTAATAAAACTTAAGATTTTTCTTAATCTGTGTGAAACATATCATAAATGACTTATAAATAGGATAAAAAACTAGATTATCTATCTATCTATCTATCTATCTATCTATTTGTGTATGTATAAGAAGAAAACAAACACATGGCATTAGCAAAATGCAACAAAGTCATGGAAAAGGGATATCACAAATTAGTTAATGTTGTTAATATTCTAGAGAAGTGCTCCAAGACAAACTCGGTGCTCTTGGAACATAAGTAGGGGCTAGCATATTTCTAACTTCCATATCTCAACTGTCAAATAAAGAGGAAAACAACGTAGAAGGTATATGTGTTGCAATCATGTTTTAATAAAAGTAGGATCTTCGTGGACGCAACACCAAACGTGCAGTAGTTGTCTTCATATCGATCTGATCTTCCTCAAAATTACAAGGTTTATCCTCGTCAATTCGTCCCATGTTTCTAATCATTGTCCCATTACGCTTACGAAGAACAGGCAGCCTTGTTTGGCTCTCTGCAGCGTTATTTTTCATATTTGTGACGTGATGAACTCCTCTGAGAACTCGCTGTTCATCAACAGTATCAGCATCATCACCACCAAAACGAGCCCTTAATGGCTTCACGTCGAGGAAGGTCCGGTGAGGATGATACGAATGCGAGATCGGAAAAGTTGAATAGCACGCCCCACCGCCGCCATGAGCAAGCTCGCCGGCACAGTCTTGAACCCCCTTCATGTAAAGCTGCCTTGCCCTCTTCAAAACCCTAATGGGACTTAACATCAACTTCACTAACAAACTTTGCTTCTTCTTTCCTGTTCTTCGCATCATCATGATCATTAATTCTCCAACGCAAGCAAAATTTGCAGAAGCTCCAGTACGTACGGCTATCATAAAACAAAACAGAAGCTAGGTTGAGGTCGCCAAGTTATAAACTAGAGATGGATTTATATTACACACAGAGGATATATAATTAATTAATGTTTGATTTGGATTGGAGTGCATTGGAGCTATATATATAAGCTTTGCACTTAAGCCTGGACGGCAATTTGAGGCCGGAGGGAATCAAGGGACGTCTAGTTTGGACCTCTTCAAACGGTAAACAGGCAGGACGTAGGTGCGTGAAAATTAAGTTGATGCACGAAAGATTAATAAATATCCGAAACCAACTGTTCATCACGAATGAGTGTGACATGAATATATATATACACGAAACTATTGTTTATATCGACTAATTGAAGAAATGGTTTGATTTGTCCGGTAATTAATGTGGAGAAAGATTGAGGGAATTAGTGTGTTTAATTTGCATCACATCTGGGATTAGGACTGTTTTTCTTTTAAGTTTAATTTGCCTTGAGGATTCGTGAATTAATTCCGACCTTCTTGGAGAAATGATCGAGTTCGATATGAGACTGCGATTCAGTGATTTGAAGGACGAAGGTATACATTGTGTGTTTTTTCTGGTAAAATTTATCTCAAAGTATTCTTCCATCAATCTCAACTCTATGCGCAAAAGATGTACTTTCTCTCTCCTTCATAATATACAAGCTACTTAATTAATTAATTTAAATATATTAAAAATAAATAAATAAATTGTAATAAATGTGTCCGGATTTTTTAAAAAATACTTTTATGTAATATTATATCATATATCAATTTATAAATTAGGTCAATTAATAATAAAAAATAAAAAATATGAGAAATAAAGTAAATCAAGATAATATATTTATAAATTAAACTTAAGTATATATTCAGTCATTTAACTTTTTATTAAGTTTCAATTTAATATCTTAACTTTAAAAACCTAAAAAGTATATTTTTTGGTTCCTTAACCCAAAAATTGTTAGGCTTAAATAATTATTTTTGTAATAATCATGACTATTTTAAAAATTAAATTTAATATGTTAGCATTTAAAAATATTTTATTAATATTCAAGATCTCAATCTCAATGTTACATTTTTTTTTGTTAACAATTTTAAGGTTAAATAACTAAAATTATACTTTTTAAAGTTAAGAGACTAAATTGATATTATGTATAAAGTTATCTCAATATTATCTCGATGATTTATATTGTTTTCCCATTAATTAATTCGACGGCCAATTAATCTCACGCGATTGTACATTCCAAAGCCATGTCATCTGGGGACAAACTTATTAAAAATACATCCAAAAAAATGGTCTAAAAGAAATTTTAAAATAAAAAAAAATCTGATTTTTCATTTTTTTATGCAATAAAATTTAGATGAGTTAGTTTCAATTTATATGGATTATTGAATAATGATTACATCAAGTTGACAAGAAATTTAAGGTGATAATAGGAGGTGAGCGTTGGCCCTTGAAAAATGAACATATCTACCATTCAATAATGATTAAATGGTCACGACCTGCCCACCTTGCTCTTCTGCTCGGATTTTTATCTGTCCCCATGTACCATGTTTTCCTGGTAGCACTCACTCACTAGTCACTGCAACTAATTTTTGATACATTAACATAATTAAATAGATATTCAATATAGTCTTCTTAAAGTATTTTTGTTTAATATCATATTATATATTGACTTATAAATTTGATAAATTAATGAATATGAGAAATAAAATAAAATAATATCTCACTATTTCTCGCTTGTATAGAGATAGGAGGCAATGACTTTATTATTTAATGCATCTATACCCAAGAGAATTGTTTTGATTTTTTTCTCCTTATAACTAAATAAAAATTTATTTGATAGATATATAATCAAATAAAATGAAAATAAATTTGAATGAAAAAATATAACAACAAATCAAAGATAATTAAAAATCTAGCTATTGTCAAATAATAAAGCAAAATGCTAATATACAAATTTGTCTAAAAAATTTTTACTCAATAAACTTGTATAATAAACTTGCACCATAATTTTAAGAGGAAAAAAAAAGAATCATTGAATATCTCTATTTTTAAATGCTACAGAGAAAAGAATCGTTTTTCATAGAAGACACAAATATGGAGAGCAATGTATTTCCTCGTCGGTCGAAAGGCTGGTGGGAATTAGGAAAGTTAGTTACACAAAGAAAAAATTTATTTGTGGCGCCGAGATATGATAAATGCAATAGCCTAGAATGCTCAATGTCATGTTTGGACACTAACAAAAATGAGGTTCTTCATCTTCATCACCGCTCTCCTTCTGGCCGTCCCTTCCAACGCTGCAACATCTTCTTCTCAACTGGTTGAGACCCTTCCTGGCTTTCCTGGAAAACTTCCTTTCACTCTTGAAACTGGGTTCGTATTATATTCAAACCGTTTCTCTTCCATTTCTATCTACATTACTATATAGAACCACACATTTTTGGAGGTGCCAAAACGTGGTTTTGCAGCAGAAGCAACGATCATTTTGCTTTTATAAAGCATGGTTTTGAAACCATTTCCCAACATGGTTCCGTGTACACTCTAGATATGCATAAATTTGTTTTTTTGTGCCTAGCGAATACAATGCCTTTTTTTTTTTGATGATTTATTGTGTCATGTTATTGTGGATTGGAGATATGTTTTGGCAAATCAGTATTATATTTAAGTACATTCTTCTTTTTCCATTTTGTTCTTTGTTCATATGCATTCTTGGTTATAAATTTTATAAAACTCATGAGGAATCAACATCAATCTAGTTTTTAACATATTTGAAAATCCTTAACATATAATGTCTCTTTTAATTGAATTCCTGTTATTGTTGTCTTGTTGCCAATCTGTTGAAATTACGTTGGCAAGGTATGTGGGAGTTGGCGACTCGGAAAGCGTTCAGCTCTTTTACTACTTCATTGAATCTGAGAGCGATCCTGATGAAGATCCTCTCGTGCTCTGGCTCACGGGTGGTCCTGGTTGTTCTGGTTTCTCTGGCCTCGTCTATGAAGTTGGTACTATTCCCTTCTTCTTTCATTCGCAGCTTTAGTTTCCATCTTCACGCATTAGTTGCAAACATCGCACTAATTTTGGCCCCTTTCTCGGTTGATCTCATAATTGTGTGATCATGTTTCCCGTCAGCATATGAAAATCACTGCGCATTTGTGCTCTGATTCTGTCACAGGTCCCCTGTCATTTGATTATGCCAAGTCTAGTAGCGGGGAAGTGAAAGTTCCAGTACTGAAGTTGAATCCATACTCGTGGACTACGGTATGTGTGAGAGACACTTTTGTCACAATTGCCTCAATAGTTTAAGTGTTGTGTTAATGATCAATTCTGCACAATTTCCCGTGATCTCACTCTTGTATCTAAAATTTTCAGGTATCTAACATGATTTTTATTGACGCCCCCGTGGGCACTGGGTTCTCGTATGCAACAAACCCAGAGGCATATCTGGTCGATGATTGGTTATCCGTTACACAAACCCATGAGTTTCTCAGGAAGGTAAGGAAAATATGTTCGCCCACAGGCCTGATCTCTATATTTGCACACAATGTATTTGATAAATTGTTGATGTGATCGTAATATTGACACGGTTCTGCCCAAAATGTGATTAGCAGTCTAATATGCAATTGAATGTTGTATTTAACTCTGAATATGATGTTTTGGATATGCATTTACAGTGGCTGTTGTCTCATCCCCGGTTCCTAAAACATCCGCTGTACATTTCTGGTGATTCGTATTCAGGCATCATTATCCCTATCCTTGTCAGCAAGATCTCTGACGGTAATGCTTGACATGAATGCGCTCTTCATACAATGGTCAAGCTTCAAAAGCAGAGCACCATAGTCTTGAATATTTAGAGGACTATAATCCAGATTTCAGAATAAATAACAAAGTTTTCTTGTTCTCTATTCGGTTTTCTTTGATCTTAATTCTTTTCTTTTCCCCTTCATTTTTTGCAGATAATGACGCAGGTATTAAGCCACAACTGAATCTAAAGGTGCTCCATTCATAGATTCAATTTGAAATACATATACTTGAACCCTTTTTTCATCATCACTCTTACCGGGTCATGAAGTTTGTAATCATGTTCTTCGAATATAAGGTAAATTCAATTTTGATCGATGTTTCCAGGGTTATTCCATTGGAAATCCAGTTACAGATGTAACTATTGATGAGAACTGGAGAGTTCCCTTTGCACACAGAATGGCACTCATACCAGATAAGCTTTATGAGGTTGGTTGCAACTCATCAGTCGCTTCTCAGACCTGCAAATCTCACGATATTTTCCCTTTCCTGATGATATATTTCACTCTTTCCCATGTTGTTCAAGTCAACCAAAAGGAATTGCCATGGTCAATATATGGATGTAGATCCAAACAACGCTGCATGCTCAGGGGATCTTCAAGTTTTTACAGAGGTAATTTGTGCGTGCATGTCTATTATATTGTTCTTTCATGTTTTATGGATGTCATCGATTTTGGTCCTTTTGATGAGTGATGACCTTTATCCCATTTTGTAGTGCACCAAGATGCTAATGATCGGAAACATACTAGAGCCTGATTGCGTTACAGACACGCCAAAACCAGAATCACTCAAATGGGATCCTAATATTGTCAAAGAAGATTCCTTGGATCTTCTTTCAACCGGGGAGCATTCTGAACCTTGGTGTCGGGTAAATTCATGAATCTATAACCCAGTAATATGCTCTCTAACGAGAAGCATATTGAAATGACTAATACTGATCTTTCCATCCAAAATTGAGTCAAACGTTGTCCATTATATCTTGGAATCCGTTAAATCTGGTAAAGCCAACACCAGATCTTATTAATGGAGGGATTGTTAGAATTTTCAGAAACATATAACCAATATGCTCATCATTTTGTTTGCAGAATTACAACTATGTCTTCTCTTACATCTGGGCTAATGACGAAGAAGTTCAGGCTGCCCTCCACATTCGGAAGGTACGGTGAATTAAATCAATTAATATATAATATTTACCTTATAAAATATTATATTATTTATAGATTATAGATAATACGATCTATCTTAACTTTTATACAAAATATAGCCTATCACAACGTGGTCAAAATAATTCACTGCAAATCAGGGGACGAAGAAGGACTGGCAGAGATGCAATACGAGTTTGGCTTACACAGAGGATGTCACAAGTAGTTTCCCATTCCACAAAAACCTCACAAACAAACCCTACGAAGTTCTGATTTACAGGTAATAATTACTACTGCATATAAGGTTTTTGTGATGTTTAAATGTTATATTATCAAATTTAAGTTGTTTATAAACATAGGATATTTAAATATTCTTTTTATGATATCCCAACATGTGATTATAAAAATTATAACAAATTGAATTGCGTACAAGTCATGAATAGCAAAATTCAGATCTTGAGCATTGAGTTTTATAAAACTCATCAGACTTAGGGGGTGTTTGGATAGAAACTAAATCATGGTTTCAGAAATGCTTTTACGGATTACGAAGTAAATATGTGGAGGAGATTATTTCGTTTTGCAAAAAAGTGCTTCTGAAACCTCGGTTTTGACAATGCCAAACACCCCCTGAAATTTAATTTGGTGCTAATAAACATCCCGAAATGTTTTATCTTATGTTTTTTTTTTTTTTGTGGTGTGGTTGCAGTGGAGACCATGACATGGTTGTTCCATACGTGGGTACCATGGCATGGGTAAAGTCTCTGAACTTGAGAGAAAGTAGCAAGTGGAGACCATGGTTTGTCCAGGGGCAAGTTGGAGGGTATGTTTACTGCAACTGATTTCTTCCCCCCCCCCCCCGCCCCAAACACTTCAACTAATTAATTATTAAATTCTAATTGTTATGAGCAAATTATTGAGCAAATAATATTATTAATTATGCATGAACATATAAATTCTTGAGACATAATTAAGCCTCAAAAGAGGAGAAAAAACGAGTCTGACGCATGAGTTTTGTTCTGCAGATATACAATCGAGTATAAACGCAGCAACTACAGCTTAACATATGCCACAGTGAAGGTAATACTGCTATTGAGAAACACTCTCAACTTTATTTGTTCGGAAATATAATTAATACTCTCTTCAATCCTGAATAAAGGAACTAAAAGATGTGTTTAATTTACTTTTAAAATATAAGGTTTCAGTTCATTTTATTTTTAAAATTTATAATTTTCCATATCGATCATACATATTAAGGATTTTTCCATCCAACAAATCTTTTCCCATGAAAATTACTGACTAAAAATCAATGCCTTGATAAAACTCACATTATGTTCACAAATAGTTAATTAATTTTTTTAATATTTGTGAATTAGTGATTAAACTCTTATATTTAGAATTAAAAGAGTATGATACGATAGTAACAATAACGAGAGTATGTGCGGGAATTATGCAGGGAGCAGGACACACAGCGCCAGAGTACAATCCTCCACAATGCTTGGCTATGTTTTCTAGGTGGCTTGCTCGTTACCCTCTATAATCATCATCATCATCAATACTAAAATGTAATTATTCCATCGATTGCCACATTAATCTGTTGAGTAAATTTAGGAGGTACGACTTTGTGTTTGTTTTTTCACCCTCCAATGTAAATTTGCAGCAAACAATCACGTTTCCTAGTGATCGAGGAATGTAATAAAGAGAAATCTGTTTGAATATGACTTAGTCTTCTTGTCCTATTTATAAAGCACTTCTAACATATTTTGTATAGACTAAGAAAAATCTTAAAATGCATTAACTTTCTATTAAAATATAATAGTAATTTTCAACTTTCTCCATATTTAATATATATACTTTTCAAAAGATATAATTACTTACACTATACTAAATAAATGAAAAATAAAATAGTACATTCATACTGAAAATTTAATGAAGTAACTTATAAATAAGATTAAAAAAAAACTTCTCTTTCTAGTTTATAAATAGGACCAAAGGAGTATGCTGTAGAGATGGAAAAGAAGGCTATCATTAATTTTAATTAATTAATTTATTGATGGAGGTTTGACCGTTTTAATTAGTTTGTTACTAAATTATTATAAGCTCATTGACCAATAATTGATCTTCTACCATCCACTAATCGTAAAATCTCATCAGTAACAAGGCTAAGAAATTATCAGTAAAATGATCAGATGTTACTCAATGATTAAAAATTAATTTGAATTATCAATTAAAAGTATAATGCACTTATTTTATACTTATTTTCTTAAAAATATCAAGAAAGGTTGGGTTGCTCCAGCATATTTTTTTCCCCAAGTGCTGCAAAGAGTATTTAAATATTTTCATGTCATACAAATACTGCAGTTGAACATTTAAAAAAATTTCATAAACATATTAAACGTAATTTTAAAACTCACTTTTATTTCTTTTTCAATTTCATTTCTCATTTCTTTTCCTCGTCTCTTTCTCCCCTCCCCCCAACCCCCAATCAGCTCTTCTGGTCTTTTCTTAAATTTCAGATACGAAAAGAGGATTATCTATTTTTTTTTTCCAAAGAAAAAAAAAATTCCAACCTACACGTTCGGCCTTTGACTGGAGAGGCGGAACACTGTGCAAACTCATTTTCCAACCTCGTGGGGCGAACCGGTTAGCTGCCAAGCATTCTCTCTTCTTCTCCCTTTCTTTCATTTTCATCCATCACGTGTTGCAAAAAGATATAACACATTCTGAACATTTAGTTTATCAATTTTTAGTAACATTTTGAAAAGTAATTACTGTCTTGACAGAAATAATTATCCACTTAAATAGTAAACATTTTTTAAACAATTTGTTTTCTTATACTAACACAAGTCATCATCTATTTATATATATAAACATTTATAACTACACTACTCTAGTTTCTTGAAAGAGTGAGAGCTGAAAAGTATACTCTAAAAAGCCTAGTTTTTTTTTTCCAAATTGAAATCAAACCTGCTTGTCTGGCTCTAACTTATTAGATGCCTATTTCCTCCAGACATGTCAACATCTGAAATTGAGCAGACCCATAATAGTTGTAAAAGGAGGAAATTAAAGAAGTGTGTCTCAGTGAAGAATAAAGTAAAATCTTGCCAAAATTTAAAATGGGGTTGGAATATTAGGTTCTTCCTTCTCCTCCTACTTCTTCTGATGTTCATATCCATTTTCAATTCGTTTGACTTTCAGTTCTCTCATGAATGGTGGATGCCTCTACCACTCTGATGAGACATATCTCAGCCCAACGCCCTGCCCAATTAATGCACGATTCAGAGCACAACGTCGCTTGTTATTTCACAAACCATCAAGCTGCTTCAATTTAGTTCAGCATCATTCTGCTTAATTATGCATATATAATAATAATATATATCAGAAGCAGCTCGCCAGTGCTGAGAGAGACTACATTTTCTGGTTGAACCACACCACATAGATATGGCTACTCAATGCAGATTGTTGTGGTGTTTTCTCATTCTTTTGGTTCTCTCAAACTCTGTTTCTTCTCAAACCGTCGTCAAGACCTTGCCTGGTTTTGAAGGGAACCTTCCTTTCTTTCTTGAAACTGGGTTAGTCTATAGTGTTTGTTTGATTCTGCTGAGAGATTTAACAAGACTTGCATTGGTTTTGAGGTTTTTAATTTGTGTGTTTCAGGTACATTGGGGTAGGAGAAATGGATGAGATTCAGCTGTTTTATTACTTCTTTAAATCAGAGAGGAAGCCAAATGAGGACCCTCTTGTGCTCTGGCTTCCCACTGGCCCCGGCTGCTCTGCTCTCTCTTCCATCTTGTACGAGAATGGTGAGTTCTTCTTCTCTCTCACCTAACACTGCAAGTTCGATGTTTTCCATATGCGAATCATTGATATGGACTTTTGACTCTCAGTCATCATTATTCAACAAAAAAAACTTGGTTTTTCCTGCTAAATCTAATGACTTTAGTATTTTCATAGCAAATGTTCCGGTGCATACTACAAAATTATTCACTAGTGTCTCCAATTAATTCATCAATGTGTAGAGTGGGAGGGAAAGGACGCATTGTTCTCTTTCTTATTATTTGTTGATGAAACGAAACAGAGAAAATGATTTTGGCTTCTTTTCTATCGTAGGAGTAGGATGTTACCAAACAAAGGGTCAATTCTTTTCACTAATGTTTATTGGGCGTTATTTGGGTAAAGCTGATGTAACACCCTGATTTTTATTAGAATGTACTACCTCCGGTCTTAATTATAATTATAAGAGCTAATTGACTAATTTAAAGAGATCAAAAAAAGAAGTTAAGTTAGTTATTTATAATAAATATGTGTTGTCTTTCTTAAAATATCCTTGTTAATTAAGTGTATTGGTTGTAACTACTATTGTTAAAATAATTATTTTGGAAAAAAAATACATAAATATGAGAAACAAAGTGGATTGGGATCTTATATTTAGGATTAAAATAAAAGTCAAACAATGTCTTATATTAAGGATCGGAGGTAGTATCTAGTAGCATGATCTTATTTTCTTGGTATAATGTTATTTTTCAGTTACATCTAGCACCTTAAAAATTAAGATATTGGACACACTAAAAATAAGATGAAGTGCTAGATGCATAAAAAAAAAAAGTACTGGATGTAATTAAAAAATAAAATCAATATGCTAGATATATCTTTACAATGTTTATTTAACGTTTTCATTATTTGTCTCTTTTCTACGCAATTAACATGCGAACAAATATAATAATTTCAGACAGCATAAATACTTTCCTTTTTTTCAATCTACTTTGACTTTGATGGTAATTAATTTCATAGGTTTTACATATATTTTTTTAATATATATCACCTCATATTAAACTATATGACCTCACATAGCACTTTAAAAGAAATAATATTTTCAGAATGTCCATTTTTATGTCCCCCTCTGTTTTTATAGGTCCAATTCGTTTCAATTACAAGAATTCAAGCATCCAAGACAAACCGGTTTTAGAGTTGAATATTTACTCTTGGACTAAGGTGCCTCATATTGATTTATTGCTTAGTTATAATTTTTATAATGATAATAAGAACAATTTTATATTAAAAATTTGATGTTCTATAGGTGGCCAATGTAATTTTCCTGGATGCACCCGTTGGCTCTGGGTTTTCTTACTCAACAGCTTCCTCAGGATACAACACCAGTGACATAAAAACTGTCTCAAACATTTACGAGTTTATCAGAAAGGTAAACTAAATTTATAAATGAATTTTCTTAAATTTATTTTTTAATTTAATCATAAAATGATTCTGCTAATTTGATAAATTTATTTCTTAATTTAATCATAAAATGATTCTGCTAATTTTGATTATATATGGTGTTTAAAAATAACATGCAGTGGCTCTTAATGCATCCTGAGCACATGGAAAATCAACTTGTAATTGGTGGAGAATCTTATTCTGGCATCATTGCTCCAGCTGTTGTCCAGAAAATTTTAGAAGGTAAATTATCTCTAATAAAATAAATTAAGAAAAATTATGAAGCTTGTTATTTGAATTTGTTTTGCTTAGTCCTCTTCTTGCTGTCACTGCAGGCAATGCAGCCAAAGAGCATCCCTGGTTGAATATCCAAGTAAATACTATTTATTTTAATTTCTTTATTTTTTCCAATTAAAAATATAAAAATATATATATGTGTGTGTGTATGCTAAAGGGGTTTGACTTATAAATGTGCACACAGACTTTGGTTGTGGGAAACCCATTCACTGATGTATATTACGATATAAATTCAAGAGTTAAGTTTGCTGACAGAGTTGCACTTATATCTGATGATCTCTATGAGGTAATTTTCTATAAATAAAATTCATATATTTAATAAGAGTTCATTAATTTTGTTAATGATATTCTCTAATATATGGTTTAATTCACTTGCCTTGTTATTTAAAGCAAGCTAAATTTCACTGTCATGGAGAATATGTTCACCCAAACAGAAGTAATACTGCCTGTGCTGCGGTTCTTGAAATGATCCATCGGGTAAGTATAATAATTACAACTTGAAAGTTTCTTGTATATATATTTTTAATACTAATCGTTTACTGATATTACTGATTTTTTTAATACTTTTTTTGAGAATAAAATTCTGAAACATTTGATAACAAATTAATGCAGTGTTTGGAAGACTTGAATGCTGCGATGATACTGGAAAACAAGTGTCCAGCTTTCTCTCCAAGACCAAAGAACATCCAGTGGGATTTAGGTTCTCTTGGTCTTAATCTCACTGATTCACTCTTCTCAGAGGCCAATCCCATTACTTACACCGGATATTGCAGAGTAATACACACACACACACACACATCCTCTTCCTTTCTCTTTTCTCTTCTCTTTCTTCCTTCCTTCCTTTCTTTCTTTCACCATTTTCATTATATGATTCATGCCTCATTTCTTTGACCCACCTGCAGAAATATAACTATCTGTTTGCCTCGCTGTGGGCAAATGATTTAGCTGTACAAGAAGCTCTGAACGTTAGAAATGTAAGTCTGTGTATGTGTCAGGATCTGAAGTTAATTTAAGAGTATTTTTGACTGATCAGTAGTTCTGGGATGAGGCAATCCACAGGGAACTATAGAACATTGGGAGAGATGCAATAAGAGCATAGCTTACACTCGTGACATAAAAAGTAGCCTCCATTATTACAAGAACTTTTTAAGTGCAAAGCCTCTCCGAGTTCTGGTTTACAGGTAAATCTACAACACAAGTCCGTGTTGTATGGTTTTTGCTGTTTGTTTGCTTCTGAATTAACAGAGGGATTTTGGCTTGGTTGTGGCACAGTGGAGATCATGATCTGATCATCCCATATGTGGGCACAGAGGAATGGATTGCAAGTTTGAACATGACTATATCTGCTGGTAATCATGAGTGGAGGCCTTGGTATGTTGATGGACAGGTTGCAGGGTAAGTAACATTTGTTTTCAATGACACTATTATTATTATTAGAGCTGTCAAAACGGACTAGTCTAACTCATACGAGTTGTTTCAATAGTTCCCTAAAGGTCAAGGTTAAGATTAGACTTTTTTTTCTTTTTTCTTCTGCAGATATACAGAGATATACACCAAAAAGGAGTTCCGTATAACATATGCAACAGTTAAGGTAAGAGAATTATAACCATTTTGAAGAAGTTTTGTTTACGAATAAGTGAGTGTAATGAAATTGGGTCCTGAAGACCAACAAGGTTAAGGAAGGCCTCAATGTTTAAATATTTATCCATAACCAAAATTCTCACATCAGTATCGGACTTTAAATTCACACTCTTATGGGATATAAGCCATGTTTCTAGCAATTGGATTAGCTTTCGTTAGCAAAAAGAAGAAAAAAAGTTTTGTTTCTCATTAAGTGAAATGATAAAATTGAAATATGGTATGAATGGAATTGTGCAGGGAGCAGGTCATACAGCTCCAGAGTACAAGCCAAAGCAGTGCTATAACATGATTGAGAGATATCTTGCTCATTTCTTCCTTTAACGGACAACCCTTGTGTGCTCATTCCACCAAGCAGCCTCTTCCTAGTGCCACCACAGTAAATGGAACATTTTTGGAGTTTCCAATTTGTAAGTAATAATTTGACGACCATATAAGGCTCAAGTAGATCCGTGAACATTTCCTTAGCAATTAGCCCTGAATTAATCTTTGCAGAATAGATCTATCAGTTGTATTTCTTGCCTTCCTTTTTGTGCCTCATATATATAGTTGTAAGTAATAATTTGGAGTTAAAAGGCTTTGACTTTTTGGCACATTATCATCTTCCATTTAGCTGAAGAAGACAGAAAGAAAGAAAGAAAAACGAAGTATACCTAGCTTCTGAAACTGACAGTATAAATTTAGCTGAAGAAGAAAGAAAGAACGAATGAATGCAGAGTTAGATTATGTTATTATGGGGCATATATGGGTAACTTCTCAGAGACTTTCTTTTGTCACTTTCATCTATGGAATTCCATTTCTTCAATTGCCTCTCTTACTTCTGATCGAAAAAGTGGTGTTGAACATCTTCAATTGGGCCTCCGTCCAAGATTTCAGTGACAGCATAAATGATTCTGATCGGTCTTTTTGTAAGAATGCTTCGGCTGAAACTTTTTCACCTTCTAAGGTTCAAGTCTGATCATAAAGTGATCTTGATCTTTGATTCAATTCTTAATGCCACTCACTCTAAATTCAAACACGTTGGTTCCAATACTGCTTGGCTTGCAGAAGATGAGTTTCAGATTATTGTTGAACAAGGATGGATTAACAAAACTTGGCTTCAAGGAGTCTAAACTTTCTCCACTGAAGCTTCAAAGTCGAATGATCAGCCCATGGCCAGCATGGAATCAGATTTCGATTTATTAATTACATTGATTAATGAGGGACAAAAATGAAGAAAAAAAGTTAATTGAAATTACAGATATTCTTTAAGTGTATTTTATAAATACGATCATACACACTCCAAAAACTGAATCTTATATATAAAATAGGAAGAACACTAATTAAACTTAATTAATTCATGTATTTCTAATGACATTGTAGCCTAATAACATGAAAAAAAGAAGAAGAAGTTGAGTTTGATTCCCTTGTAATCTGATGATTTTAGTGTCTACCCTTCCAAAGAAAAAAATTAATTAATGTCTTCAACCTACTTTCATTTTCTTAGTTAGATCCTTATTTAATAACCAATGCTTTTTAATATTTAATGGATAAAACAACCCCCCTTATTTTTTTGGTACCATCACAGCCCTAGATTTTCTTGCTGATAAGAACAGATGGAGTGGCACTTTTCAGTAAAACTTTTTGAGGATATGAAACAATCCGTAGATTCAACTTCTGGAACGCAACTCTGATCTTCCGTTTACTCTAAGGTTTAAACTTTAAAGCCCTGCCCCATAGGTCTTTTTGTTTTGTTTTTTGTTTATTTATTTATCTTTTCACTACCCTGCCCCATGCTCAAATAGGCTTCCTGAATCCTAAATAATCTCATTAATCTGGTTTTTTCATATTTGAAAAACCAAAAAAAAAATTAACACTTCAAAGTCATAGAAAAGAAAGTAGTCTGTGATATTTTATAAATATAGTTAAATCGTTAAAATATTTTTGTTTTAAACTTGTTATTATCAGTAAATTTTTTATTATTTGTTATTCAATATTTGTTATCAGTTCACAGTTTATTAATAAATTTTTTGAAATAAAAATATTTTAGTCATTGAAGTATACAAGGCACCACTTGTTAATTTGCAGTTTTTTGTTGTTGTCATTTTTCTTTTTAAAAAAAATCCATGATAAAGAATAAATCAATGAAGATACTCACGAGGAATAGAACAGATTCTCGGGAAGGCAAGCTGTGGCAGCCCAGATCGACGACTCTTTTCGGCGGGAGAGGGTGGGATGGGTTCGCCAGTTACTTTGCTTGCTCTGGGGACATCAATCGCAATATAGGTTTCTTGGGATCTCTTCCAAAACCCTCTGATTGAGTAAACCTAACCTGTGTTTACTGCACAAGCTACTGACAAATGAGGGCAAATACTCGCGACCCTTTAAAATCTGCTAACGAAGGGGACCCAGATGTAACCCGACCCTCAGCTACCGCCGCCGGAATCTCCGTTGGAGTCATTCATCGGAAGAAAGGCACCGGCGTCAGAGCGTGGCTTCTAATTGACGCCACTGGCCAGACGCAAGTGGTGGAGGCCGGCAAGCACGCCGTCATGCGCCGAACTGGCCTGCCTGCCCGAGACCTGCGGATATTGGATCCACTTCTGTCCTATCCTTCCACGATTCTGGGGCGTGAGAGAGCGATCGTCATAAATTTGGAGCACATAAAAGCGATAATCACTGCTCATGAAGTTTTGCTGTTGAATTCGAGGGACCCATCCGTCACCCCCTTTGTTGAGGAGTTTCAGAGAAGAATTCTGCATCATCATCAAGCCACTAAGGCTCAGGTTTTGCACCCTTCTTCATTTTGTTATTGTAAATTTCTTATGATTGTTGCATTTTATATTTTATGTTTCTCAAATCGCTGTTTGCCGTGAAATTTTCTAAGATCTCTTGATTTCATCTAATGTAGCCCCCGTTTTCATAGTTTATCCAATTGTCTTCTGTCTTTATGGAAGTGCACAAATTATGGCAGTCATTACTAGATGGACGTTAGCAGCAAGGAGTCGATTATATCAACATGTGCAATGTCAGTGATAGAGTTGCTGAATTTTTTTATTAACACCTATAGTAGAAATCATGGAATAAAAAGGGGATAAAAGGTTGCGATACTGCTAGTTCAAAGGATTATCCTATGGGTCCTGGTTTTAAGGAAAAGCAATTGATAGCCTAGTGATGTGTTAGCTGTTAGGGTCTGTCTAGGGGTATGAGCTAAGTTAGAGTCATCTTTTGTGGGTTTTGAAAGCCTTTCCAGCCAAGGGGAGGGGGAGTTCAGTCTTTTGGTTAGTGAAGTGTCTCTGTAGAGTAGTTTTGTCTCGAATGTCCAGTGGCTCATGCTGTGTGTTGCTGTGTTGTTTCTTGTTAGTTTGAGTGTACGAGGGAGATGGGATTGGATTGAGTCATTATTTCCCTTGTAATCTGACTTTATTATTCAATAACAGTATTATCAGTCCCGTGTTGTTGTCTATTTCTGGTTTTTGTTCGATATCAAGATTATTAGAGTTGAGGGCTCTATCAGTTAGCATATCTTGATACAAGTAGTTTGGGATGGTTTGTTCAATATAATAGGGATCAGATTAGATATGAAAATCACCTCTTAAGTTCTTTATAGAGTGACTCCCAGGACCCCCCCCCCCCCCCAAAAAAAAAAAAAGCCATTTTGATCATTGCAAGTTTTATCCAACACTGTTAAGATGAGTCTGCTATAGACTTGTGTGTGCTTTATTTCTTGTTTATTTACCTAATACAATTTGTTTTATTTTGTCTGGTAATTGTGTGTTATCATTGTCATCATTATTCTCAATAGTACAGGAGGGAAATGGCGATGATTCAACCTGGACAAAATTGTATGATTTGGAAGAGCCACAATCTAGAACTGTTAGTCCTCGAATTCAGGATGGGGAAAGTAAAGGAGAAGAGAAACAATTCCAAAATAGAGATGGGATGAAGATTCTCCCCTTCGAGTTTGTAGCACTGGAGGCATGCCTTGAGGCTGCTTGTGGAGTGTTAGAAAATGAAGTACATATATTTTGCTCATTTGCTATTTTTCTTCCCTTATCTTCTCACTTCCTACATATTTATTTTTCTGTCATCTCTTTGAGCAGGCAAAGACATTGGAGCAAGAGGCTCATCCTGCCTTAGATAAGCTGACTTCAAAGATTAGTACTCTCAACTTGGAACGTGTTCGTCAAATTAAAAGCCGCTTGGTTGCAATTACTGGTCGAGTTCAAAAGGTGGGTATTTTTCAAACCTTGACTACCTCCTTGCAAATTAATCTTTGATGATGTTACCCATTAAACAAACGTTCCTTCATCTGTGATTTGAATATTTTCTTTCGTGTGGCACACTTTTGATTGTTATTGCATACTACTCATCTCCAGGTACGGGATGAGTTAGAACACCTGCTAGATGATGATGAAGATATGGCTGAGATGTATCTGACAGACAAGTTAGTTCAGCAGCTTGAGGATTCTTCAGCCTCATCCATGAATGATAAAGATGACACGGAAGATCAAGAACTTCAAACTGATATGGATGGCAGGCATGTAATTTTACCGTCATTTTGATCACATTGAATACTTACTGTGTTGAATGTCTTATCTATAATCATTTAATTGTCTGGTACTAGGATACCTGCGGAAATATCATTGGAAACTGGGGGTGGTTTTGCTCGCTATGAAGATCATCAAAATGCACTTGGCAGGGACAGCCATGGAACTCGTACTAGCGCTACCTACAGTACTATTACCAAGCAACTTGATGTAGAAGAGCTTGAGATGCTCTTGGAAGCATACTTCGTGCAAATTGATGGCACACTGAACAAACTATCCACGGTTTGCAAATTTTATTGAATTTTTGTAGATAGACTCGTTCTTTTTTGTAGCCTCATGTGGCTATTTTTTGCCTCACTTGAAGGTTATAAGAAGTTTTGCTGCAAAAACAAGTTGAAACATTTAATTTTTCCGATTGATTAGGCTGATGACATGTTTGAAGGATGCTTGGACGACCTGTGAATGTGCCAATTTATATGTAGGAGATTTAAACAAATAATCAATGTTTCCTGTCAAAAGTTATTGGGAGGACTTGCTGCTTTGCCAGTGATAACTACTGGGCTTGAACTAGTTGAATTTCTAGAGCTTAATAGTTTCTTCCTAAGGAACCAAGCAGAAGGAGTTGAAGACTTCACAGTATATTGTTGAATAAAAGGATTCACAGAATTGATGCTCGTATCACTTGTTATATACCTGCAGTTCATTGAGGAGCAAAAAAGATTTTCAACAATTTATCACTCGTTAGATTAGATACCTTCTAAACACTTAAAACATGCACGGCATCTTTTAGACCCATGCCAACGCTTAGATACTTTATTTTTGTCTAGATTTACTCATATCACGTTGGGGGTGCTAAAGTACTCCATCAATGCTTGGATATTTGCTTGGATTACTTGGAATAACCTCCCCCCCCCCCCTCCTGTTTTGAAGCTGAGGGAGTACGTGGATGACACAGAGGACTACATCAACATTATGCTGGATGACAAGCAGAACCATCTGTTGCAAATGGGAGTGATGCTGACAACGGCAACCCTAGTCGTGAGTGCTTCAGTGGTGGTGGCTGGCATTTTTGGGATGAACATTCATATTGAGCTTTTTGATGCTGGGATGCGGGAATTCCTCTGGACCGTTGGTGGCAGCACCGCGGGCACCATATTCCTGTACGTGATTGCCATTGTCTGGTGTAGACACAAGCGTCTTCTGGAGTGAGATTCACTGGCCGCCACAATGTTCAGATACCATGTTCATACTTTGTAAAAATATATCAAGTGAGCCATCAACACGATGATTCATCAATAATGTCTAGGAGGTTTACTTCTACGGAACAAGATTAAAGCGATATGAGGGTGACTTTGATTCAAAAGAAAAAAAATTGTAATATCACTTTTTTCAATCGAAAAGCAAACCAGCATAAAGTGTTTGTGACTTGATTCCGCCGAACAAAGTATGATATTCGTGGGTGCTTTTTGAAGTGACCAATAATGTGATTTCTTTCAATTAAAAGAAGTGTTCGCCTAGAATGACTGAAACCTTGAATTTATGTTATGCCAGGTTTGAAGTTTCAGTTTTATGTGTCAAGCATTTTTAATGATAAAATGGCATCGAATGACTGAACAACATGTGATAAAAAACAAAATCTTCAAGGTTCGATGGGATATTACGGTGAAAACTCCAAAAATGAAGCAAGAGAATGTGAATTGAACGACCGAAGTACGTAACGTAAAAGCATTGGGATATGCGTGGTGGGCACTTTAGCAGTAGCAACCGCATCCTCATTATCCATTAGCGAAAACTGGTGGCTGCAGCAAAGCGGTGAGATGAGTTCGATAGGCCAAAGCATACTGATGGCACTCACAGTAACAGTGAACAAGTATGCTTCTTCCAACTTGCAGGCCGTTTCTCACAGAAAGCATCCTAAATCGCCGCCCAATTCCGCCGTCACCACCAGTAGAAGAGGCCTCCTCTTATCCTCCCTCGCGGCCGCCTCCCTCACTGATCAAGTCCCTGACTCCAGAACTCTCCTTCTCAAGAGTACACCTCCCTCGCTCTCTCCCCCTCTATTGTTTCTCTTCCGCTTTCTTTCTCACTGTTGAATTCTTTTTCCAGAATACCTCAAGAAATCAGAGGAAAACAGAGATAAAAATGACAAAGAGGTATACTCTTTTACTGGCTGTTGAATAGTATAGTTGAGATGCTATTTCTGTGGTGTGAATTGATCAAATTGTGTGTGATATTGCAGAGGCTGGAGAGTTATTACAAGCGTAACTACAAGGATTATTTTGAACTTGTGGAGGGAACATTGAAGGCAAAGCAGCAAGATCAGCTTTCTGATACAGAAAAAGGTATCCTTGATTGGCTTAAATCTAACAAATGAAAAAACTCCCTTTTACATTCTGCCCCTTCTCCATTACTTTGGAAATTGTACATTATTATTATTCCACTCATCTAGTAATGTAGATATTATAATGGTCGGTAGATTGTGATTTCCTGTTTCTTTCGATCCTGAAACCCCATAAAATTTTTGGTCGCTTCAATCCTGCCTTTCTTTTTTTTTTTTTTTTCTGTTTTACTTTATCTTCAGACATAAGGTTGATAACAGGCCCTGATCTGATGCTTAGCAGAATTAAATTGGACAAAATTAACCAAAAAATGAAGAATTATAAAGATTAATCTGATATATTTTATAGACTTTTCGCTAAGTAAATCAAACCAATGACTAAGTCAAGACCGAGAAGAGGTTTCCAATGGGAAAATGACATTTGGGTCTCTTATAAGGGAATTATTGACACTTGAGTTATTTAAACACGTATGTAATTCTTTTGAGATCAACAAATTAAATACCATATACTGTAATAATTTGTTGAAAAATAAATATCTAAGTACTTATTTAAAACACTTGATTTCATTTTAAAAATCATTTTGTTTTCATGTTTTCCCCATTTGTAGGTCGCATTTCCGCTAACATGCATATAATTAAAAAGAGTGATGGTTTGCTGCAAAATTTGCTAACAGTATCATGAGAACGGGAGATTATGAAATTTGAAATTAGAATCAAATGAGCAATTGCACATACCTTTAAGATGATTTCAAAATAGCCAAAAATGCATATGTGAGATCATCACGAAGGCAGAAACATAAACACAGTGGCAAAGAATGAAAATAATAGCGAGTGGGGGTTACCAGTAACAATGAATCCAGAAGAAAATGTTATTGTGTGTCCAAAAATAATTCCCCGTAAAATTACATAATAAATAATAAATTGTTTAAAATTACAAAATTTTCATCACCCTAATAGTCAGTCACTACTACAAAAAAGAGTTTTACGACGCTAATTTTACGGTGGTTATTAGAAAAACATTGTAAAAACGGTGGCATTTCTGTAATTATAGGCGAACTTTTAAAGGCGGTTTTTTAAATAACTGCCGTAAAAAGTCTTTCAGAAGTTTAAAATTCATTGCGTGATAGTTTTCACTTTTCAGAGTCAGAACTCATAGTCTCTGATACCATCCTCACTCGATTTTCTCCCTCCTCTTACATTTGTTGGCGTTTATTCATTGCTTCTATCATTTCCGCCATGTTCTTCCATCACCGTCGCTGTTGCTGTTGTCGTCGCCATCGCCGCATCCTCTTCATTCTTATTTGTGAGTTTTTCACCTCCATTCTTTCTGTGGATTTCATACTTTTTGTGATTTGATATGATTATTTTCTTTGGTTAAAAATATGATGTTTAATCTGAGTTTAAAGAGATATGATTTTTAGCATATCTAAGTCTTTGATTTTATCTTTATTAAATGCTAGTTGCTTCGATTTGGTGGCTGAAGGTGAAGTTAAGTGACACTATTACAGCGGGAAGAATCTATATTTACTCCATCAGAATGCTTTTTAACTAGTGAGAGACTTTCCTTTGAGGCTTTGTTCTCCGTTCCATCATGATCAGTAGGATGAAACGTAGCTTAAAAAAAAACAAAAAAATTTCACTGCGGTTATTTATATAACCGCCGTGAAAAGTCACATGCCACGACAGTTCTTAAACCGTCATGAAATCCTCTACATTTTACGTCGATGGCATAGACGTCGGTCTCAAAACCATCGTAAAAAGCTTATTCTAACCGCCGTTAAATGTATTTTTTGTAGTAGTGAGTTTTGAGACAAGAAATCAATGGAGAATAGAAATCAAGGCCTTGAAGGAAAAGCTTATTAACC